AGCAGCAGGAACGGGGCATGCCTGTGCGGGGTCATGACCTTAGGGCAGTGGCGAGCCGTTAGAGATGGTAGGCTGGGAGCGATGAGCCTCATTTCTGTTTTGGAGTAAGTAGATCATTCTGCCGCTGGCAAGAAGAGGTGCTGGGAGACAGTGCTGGGGCTGCTAAGCCTGTCCCGGGGAGCTGAGAGCGGCCTGCATGAGGCTGGCGGCGGTGGAGAGGGGAGGAAGAGGGTCATCTGGAGATGTGTGCTGGGAGTCAAGGAGTCAGCACCCCGAGCTGGCAATGAGGAATCAGAAACAAAGTCAAGTTCAATTCCCTGATTTCTGGCTTTAGCTGTGGGACAGGGCGAAGGACGACCCCATGTTCCACGGCAGGAAAGGCAGCTTGGCGGTGCTTAGAGGGCAGAGAGGACTAGGCTTACAGGGGCAAGTGAAGAGGTTTTTTAGGGGGGCATGTCCAGTTTGGGGTGTCTGTGGAGACATCTAAGTGGAGAACTCAGATAGGTAAGTGACACTGCAGGGTGGAACCCAGGGTAGCACCGGGGTCTGGAGCCCCAAAGAGTCATTAGCGCTTAGTTAGGTAACATTCAAATCCTTGAGGCCAGGTGAGGGAACTTAGGGAGAGGGTCTGTGGGAAGAAAAAACACTGGCCCTGGAACCAGAGATTTAAAAATTTCTGGTTCTTGGGGCTGGGGGTTTAGCTCAGTGGCACAAACACCTTCCTGGCAAGCACAAGGTCCTGAATTTAATTCCCGGTACCAGAAAAAAAAGAAAAAAGAAAAAGAAAAAAAAAGAATTCCTGGTTCTAGAAAATGGGTAAAAGAGGAAAAATCAGCCGCAAAAGACAAGAGAGCGTGGCCAGGGGAAGACTTTGACAAGAGCATGGCGGGGGGGGGGGCCTTAACAAGAGCAGGGGTGTGGGACAGAAGGACCAGGAGTGAACGCAGGAGGGAACAGGAAGCAGAATGTGGGGAAGGGAGCAGCCGTGGGGGGCGTGAGGTGAGCAGGGAAGATCAGGCAGAGGCTGGGGAGAGCAGCGTGGGAGCGGGGCTGGGGCAGGGCCAGGGCTGGGGCCTGGCTCTGGAAAGGAGCTGGCCGTCTTCCCCTGTCCTGGAGGACGGGTGTGTGAGGGTGAGGCTGCCTGACAGGACTTCTGTTTGCTCAGTGAGGAGGGGCAGGGAAGGAGTGCAGCCATGTGAGGGGCTGAGGAGCCTATGAGGAGAGCCTTGGGAGTGCAAATTCCATGGCCGGAGCATGAGTGTGAGTGTGCGTGTGAGTGCGTGCACGGGATCTGTCAGGCCACCCACTGCATCTGTTAGGGGTTTAAGGTGGAGCCGCTCCGCCCATTGGACGTTTCTCTCCAAAGTTTTCACCTTTCATTCCCATCACTGCAATTGTGCTGCACGTATGTTATTTTTATTCGTGCGGGTTTATAATACAGAATAGCGACGTTCCTGCTGGGGACTCGGGATCCACATAGAGCACATCTCCATAACGTGCAATCCCTTTCCTCCCCACCCAGCCCCCTTCTCCATGTCCAACAGTTGGCCTTCTAGTTTCCTATCCTCTCCCCTTTCTCTTCTTCCCTCATTCACTGATACTTTAGGTTTCTCATGGAGGAGGAATATGCTGTCCTTTAACTTTCTCAGGCTGGCTTATTTCACTTAGCACCATAAGCTCTGGTATGCACACACAATTCTTTGCAAACATCATTTCTGACACTTGGAAATAATCCACTGAGTGGATGTTCCCCGGGTCACTCACCGTTCCCCTTTCACCGGAGATGACTGGTGCCAGGAGATCTGCTGGAGGAGAGAGGAGAAGGCCAGCTGCAGGCAGAGGGGGTGTCAGGCCCTCTGGCCCCTGGAGCCCCACCATGGCAGCTTTTTAGGGGCTGCTGTTTGGCAAAGGTGTTCCTGCCAGTCCCACACTGAGTCTTCTTGGGCATAAAGACAGAACGAGACAGCCAGGCAAACCCCGCTGGCTCCTCCAAGTGCCCCCTGGTCAGGTGTCAGGCTCAGGGGAAGTGGGTCAGAGAGGTGCGGGGCAGAGGCGGCAGGAAGCCCTAGGAGTGTGGCGCCTGAGCTGTTTACAGCTTCAACACACCTGGCAACAGCCATGTTTGAAGTGGCAACAGGGCCAGTCCCTCTCCTATTTTCCCCATAATACAAGTGCTTTTCTTCACATCTCAGACTTCCTGGTGGAGCACTGCCCCGGGACACCACCAGGGCAGGGTATCTAGGGACCTTGGTCAGTGGGACAGGGTCCCTTCCAGGTGCGTGAAGATGGAGTGAGCACCTATGGGACACCAGGTCCACCCACCCATCTGATGCTGATGCTGGTAATTACCAGGTGGCCGTATTTTCTAGGGTATCCTACCCTGGGCAGAGGCCACTTGCTGTGGGGCTGGCTGAAGCCCCTACCAGCTTTGAGTTTTGTGATTTAATGACACTTTAATCATCGAGGTCCTACTGTGAGTCAGGGACAGAGGAGCAAGCCCCACTGAGGGAATGCTTCCTGTATGCCAGACACGTGTGCCTGACTTCACAGCCGCCCTCAGGAGGGGACGGTCCTCACCACCCGCAGAGGCAGTCTCCCCCAGCAGCATGGGATGACTGAGGGAGCACAGGCTTAACCTTAAGGCCAGGGTCCTCAGGGTGGGCATCAGGTACCCACTGGTACCTGGAAGTAACTGAGAAGCTCTACCCACATAAGCGCCAAGGAGCCCGGGATCCCCTGCTTCTGGGCTGAGGGGGCAGAGCTGGGACCAGACGGTGACAAGGTCTCGTTTGTGTGTTTGTGGGATTTGAGTTGCTGTGGTGAGTGATAATCATTGACAGGCCTTCCCAGCTAGAGTGGGGCAGGCGCAGGGTCAGGGCCCACCACCCTCCGGGCAGGTATAAGAGCCAGGCCTGAGGGCCTGGAGCAGGCTGAGGCTGCAGTGCAGACATCTGCTAGGGGACAAGAGTTCAGAGCCAAAGCTGCTGTGTACAGACCGCCAGGTAGGGAGGGGCTGTTCTGGGTGTGGCCCACTCTCTGGGCACCAAGGGGGGAGGCAGAAGAAATTGAGAGCCCTGGCTCCTCACCGGCACCCAGATGGAGGCTGAGTAGTGTCTAGTCGGGGATTTGGGCCTAGATTTCTGAAAGAGGCAGGGAGGGGCCGGAGTAATAAGCAGCGTCATTTATTCTGCCCCGCTAAATGCCAGGTGCTGTGGGTTATCAAATGGAACTGAGGGAGAGCCTGACTTCACATCTCAAGCCTTCAGGCAGTACCTTTATTTAGTCTTCTTTCTTTTTTTTTTTTTTTGAGACAGGGTTTCACTATGCAGTTCAGTTCAGGCTGGCCTTGGACTCACTATGTAGCCCAGACTGACCTCGAACTCACAACTGTCCTCCTGCCTCAGCCTCTCAAGTGCAGGGATTACAGGCATGCACCACCATGCCTGGCATCTTTATTTATTCTTATAACAGCCTTAGGAGTAGATATTAATATTTTACAGATGTGGAGACTGAAGCAGAGATATTAAGTAACTTGCGCAAGGACACATAACACATAGCCAAGTGGCAAAAACCAGGATTTGAACTCGTTAATTCCAGAGCCCGTATGTGTGTGTGCGCTAGGGGTCGAGTCTGGGGCCTTGGGCATACTAAGCATGCATTTTACTACTGAGCCACATCTCCGGCTCTACTAATAACCTTTTCTTTTCTTTTTTTTTTTTTTCTGGTATCGGGAATCGAACTCATGACCTTGCGCTTGGCAGGCAGGCGCTGTGCCACTGAGCTAAATCCCCAGCCCCAACTTTTTCATTAGAAATAAAAAGGTTTTTTTTTTTTCCAGCCCTAAGCCCTGTACATGCTAGACAAGTGCTCTATCACTAAGCTGTATCCTCAGCCCAAAATATTGTTTTTGAAAGCTTTTATCTTTAATCTGGGCATGCATTTTCAAGCTTCTGTTATGATTCACTCATGGACTTTGAGAGGGAACTGAATTGCAGGTGTGAGTCCTGTGAAGGCTTCTGGAATATCAGGTCTAATGTGTTAGATGTTACCTGTGGGGCAACTGAGGCCCAAGGGTGCAAATGAGCTTATTGACAGTCATACAGGGAAGTAGAGGTCTGGGACCCCCAGCCTGGGCCTTACCCTCTTCTGGCCACAGTCCTCAGAGCAAAGAGGCAGAAGGGAATCACAGCTGGAATTTATTGTACATGGCTAACATCTGTTAGATGCTCACTGAGGCCTTGAATGCTGCCTTGCTCACAGACCCACCTGGTGACCACTGGGCCTAGGGTAAGAGGGAGCAAAGGGCAGCTGGGTGGGCATGGAGCCAGCTGGGTGTGGCCCAGGCTCCTCCCTCTCATCTCCTGGACTTGACTGGCAGCACTTCCTCCCAACAGGCCGAGGACTGGCTCACTACCCGGCTGGCCACCACACAGGATGAAAGGTCTCCGATGGCGCTACACTCGGCTGGTGAGGGATCCTGCTCAGCTGGGGGTCAGGGCCGGGAGGAGGCGGGGATCTCGGTAGGACAAGGCATGGGTGGGGTTGGGGGCAGGCAGGTGACTTGTCCCCCTCCGAGGTCCCAGGGGCTTAGAGCAAGGACTGACTCAGGGGACCTGAGCCCCAGCCTGTGCCTGAGACCTTGAAGGGAGCAGATCACTGTTTCTGTCCCTTTCCCCAGAGTGGGTGGCAGATGCAGCTCTGTCTGGAGCGAGGGCCCTTTCTTAACCGTTTCTCATTCTCAAAGAGGCTGCTCCTTTCCATGGAAAGCCTGCTGTCTTTGTGGGAGATCTTCATGCACATGTCTGCACGCCTGAATACGCATACACACGCCCACACACTCAAGCACACCCCCACAACAGCGGGTAGAAGCTTGGCTGAATGACACCACCAGTGTACCTGCCCACTGACACACACCCGTATTTACACAACCCACCCTACCTCAAAACACACACATGTAATACATAAATTCACACTGAACACGTTCTCACAGTGATTTGCCTGCACGACTCTATTTGAGGACAGAACACAACCCTCAGGGACAAACACATTTTACGCAGACCTAGGTATGCTGTCTCACACATGACTGCATCCATGGTCTCACTGGCTGCCAGGCTGTCCTCTGGGCTTCTCTGGCACAATAAAGAAATTAAAAGCACATTCTTAGGACTTCAGAGGAAATTCAAAGAAACCATGGTAGCAAGCGTGCAGCACAGGCTGGTCCAGCACAGGCTGTGTCAGCGGCGGCCGTCATCACTGTCATCACTGGCAGGGTCATTGTTACTTCATGTACAGACACACTGGGCGGCAGTGCCCAGGGCTGGCTGCTCCCACCCTTCCTCCCTGTCCCCAGCTCAGAACTTGCTCCCCAGCGTCTTCCCCCCAATCCATAGCAACAGGCACGCCGACTGCAGGGCCCACAGCCGGCCGCGGCTCCGAGGTGCTGGGCTGGGTGTGTGCCTCCCGCAGAGAGTGGCAGGGAGGAAGCCGGAGGGCGGGCAGAGTCCTGGCTGTTGTGGGCACTTACAGATGGCTGTGGGCAGGGGTCAGGAGGTACCTGAGGCTTCTGGGCTCAGGAGCTGGTGCAGGGGGTGTCTGTCGCTCAATCACCGGGCCTCTCTGTGTCTTCTCAGCCCAGCCAGATGGAGGATGCCCTGAGCGGGGAGGACGGCGAGGAGGAAGAGGACGAGGACGCAAAGGAGGGAGCCGCAGCCCCTGTCCCTGATCCTGAAGAGCCGGTGGAGCCCCAGCTGACAGAAGCCAGCCAGGTTCTGGGTACCGCAGAGATTAGGCAGGTTGGGGCTCTGTCATACACCAGGACTTTGGCCCTGGAGTTTTTCCCTTCGCCAGCCACGCCCAGGGGCACTGGGGTCACTGCTGCCTTGTCCCCAGCTCCCTGGCTCACCTTGGGAAAATCATTTCTTCTCTCTGGCCTTCCTTCCCTTTCTAGTGAAACAGTTCAGGATACGAGCACTACCTCTGCCCTTCAGGGTCTGAGAAAGAGAACTCCTTGTCACTATTGGGGATTGAACCCACACACTTGCCACTGGGCTGCATCCTTAACCGTTTCTTATTTTTATTTTTTTGACACAGGGTCTTGTTAAGTAGCTAACTTGCCCAGTTGGATTTGACTTTGTGATTATCCTGTCTCAGCTTCCCAGAGTGCTGGGATTGTAGGCGTGCACACCGTGCCTGGCTCAAATGTGCATTCTGAGGTGGCCCTGGCCCGTGTAACTGAAAGTGGATGTTGGCAGGCTGAGAGGAGGGGCTCAGGATCTCTTTGATGCTCTGGCCTCTGGCAACCAGGGTGACCAGGGGAGAGAATACTGAGAGAGACCTGAGCAGGGTTGGCTTCCTGGCTCTGCTACTTCCTGCCCCTGTGAGCTTTGGGTTGGTTGCCCCACGTCCCAGGCTCAGTTTTCCCATCTGTAAAACAGGAAACCCTGCCTCTAAGGGCTATTGCTGATGGGTGTGAGGTCCACAGAAACAGTCAAAAGCCTCAGGTACCTTGGCCATCTGTGTGGTGCGGTATGGCCCCTGCCTTGGGATGGAAGGAAGGCAGAGAGAGGAGACTCCCTCCCTCACCTCACCTTACCCGCAGCTCGGCCTCCACCTGCCCCCGAGGGTCACCGGCCACCCCTGGAGTCTGGCCTTCAGCACATCAAGGGATGGCTTCAGCCTGCGGAGAATGTACCGGCAGATGGAGGGCTGCAGCGGGCCGGTGCTGCTGGTGCTCAGGGACCAGGAGGGTCAGGTGAGCAGAGCAGGGCTCTGTGCGCTCCAGTCAGATACCACTGGGCCCTGCCCAGCAAAGCCTCGGGGACAAGATGGCTGAGGTGATAGGCTAAGTCATTTCTAATGGCATTCAGAGCCAGGCCCCCCC